TAATTCATTTTTACCTTCCTCCATGACTGTTGTCAAAATGTCATGTTGTCACTATTTTAAAAAAAATTAAATTACCTGGTAGCACCCGGTAACATAGTAGCACCCTCAGTTCTTCAAAAATAATTCATTTTTACCTTCCTCATTAATCTCTTCATGTTGTCAAAATGTCATGTTGTCACTATTTTAAAAAAAATTAAATTACCTGGTAGCACCCGGTAACATGGTAGCACCTTCAGTTCTTCAAAAATAATTCATTTTTACCTTCCTCATTAATCTCTTCATGTTGTCAAAATGTCATGTTGTCACTATTTTTTAAAAAAATTAAATTACCTGGTAGCACCCGGTAACATGGTAGCACCTTCAGTTCTTCAAAAATAATTCATTTTTACCTTCCTCATTAATCTCTTCATGTTGTCAAAATTACCTGGTAGCACCCGGTAACATGGTAGCACTGAAAAAAAATTAAATTTGGATTGAGTTTAAAAATTCATCTTTATTAAATTCATCTCTTCCAACCAATTTATTTATTCTATTAAATTCTTTTATTTTTGCTTCACTCAGTTTAAGGATTGAACGATAAGTTTCTAATTTTTCGATTATTTCTTTATCATTTTCAACCCCACCACATTGCGGTTTCTTTTTATAATAGCATATTTTTGATTTAATTTTGTTTAGTTTCTTTTTATATTCATCATCTAGACTCTTGGATGCTTCGTTGTCACCCATTTCTTACGAAATAAAAAAATTAAATATTATTTAAATATAATGGAGTAATAAAATAAATCGGAATTTCTATTAATTTATTGTCAACTTCAACTAATGCATTACCGTTAATATATCTAACAAATTCAGCTATTGTGTCAAATCTTCGTCTTCTTTTTGTCATTGATTTATCAGTTTTTCCATAATCGAGATGAATCAAAACTTTATCCCCTTGTTTAAAATTCATGAGCCCCAAATTAATTTGTTCACGTTTAACATCATTCAACCTTTCCATTTGCTTTCTAATATATTCCCATTCTTTTGAAATATCATTTTTCATTTCCACCGGTTTCATGTTTATACTTCTATGCCATGTATTATTGTAATAATATACTAACTGCTGTATGATGGAGTCATGATTTCCATCCCAGTATATCTGACCGTTAACCCCTAACACATCTCTAAGAGTTCTCATTACCGCATCAACTATTTTATTATGAAACGTATATGGAGAGTATGAAAAGTAAAAATTAATTTGTGGGAAATAATGAGCCATAGCTGCCTGAAATCCTTTATCACCATCACCCTGATATTATCCACTCTTTCATGATCTAGTAAGTATTGAATAGCTCTTCGTATTTCCTGTTCTTTTTTCCCTTTCACTGGAATGCAATATAAATATCTAGTGTTAATGTTAATGGCGAATAAATAAGTAACGTTTCCTTTTGAATATTCTAAATGATCGATTTCGTATGAATATGGATGTGGTGCAAATGAGGGGCGACTAAATTTTTCCTTTAACGGTTGAATTTTTGGGTCAGTTGGTTTATTTAATATTTTGAAATCCTTTTTAAAATCTTTTTGCTTCTTTAATGTTTGAAATGGATATAATAAAGTGAATGATGAAGGATTAACTGAAGGAGGAGGTTTTTGTTTGCAAGTGGTTTAATTTTATCTGCTTTGATTTGGATTTCATTCCTCCTTTCATTAATTCTGGATGTATTCTATTCATTTGTTTTAAATAGCTGTATATAAAGTTTGATATACTTTCCCGCTTCGAGTTTATGTTGAAGGATGAATTCCAAAAGTTGATCTTTATTTAAAAGTCGGGCTGAATATGGTTTAACTAATGAATCATAAATTAAAGCTTGTGCTTCATTTATGGTCTGAAGGCCCTGGGTGTTTTGCATCTTTGGTTTTTGCGGCTCAGGATTATATAATTTATATAATTCATCAATATCTTTTTCTGTTAATACTTTATTTTTGAAATCTTTCAATTGTTTAAGTTGCGATTTAGTTTTTCCCTTTGCATATTCATTATTTTTAATTTTGTCTTTAATTTTAGAAATTATTCTATCATGATATTTCAAAACTTCATTTTTATAATATGGATAATAATAATCCATATCATCACTCATTATAGTGTTATCATATTCTTGGAGATATGCTTTTAAATCATAATAAGTAAGAAAATTTTGATGAAATATTAAATCACCAATTGCTCTTTTTAAATTTACATCACCCATTTATATAAAAATAAAATAAGTGTTTTAAGGGTGTCCACCTCTTTGATCAAGAATCAAAACCATCATTAACGGTTCCTTTTGTCTCATTTGTGAATCCCATTTTTTTTAAAAATAAAATTTCAAATTGTATTAAATAAATGGCATACAACATCCATTTTCACAACATACAGCCTTAGTGTGTGCTCCTGTTAATGCAGTCTTACCGATGTTAAGCGAGTCATTGACCCGTTTTGAAGTGTAAATTAATATTCTGACCATCAAATATCACTTTATCATTTATTATATCCAAATAATTTTTAGGTGTTAATTGTTTATTTTGTCGTAAGCTAACACCTTTCATTTTTTGTGCAATCTTTTTAAAATCACTTCCATCAATTGAACCGTGAATGATGTATAACACTTGGGGCATAAAGCAACCATGTTATCACCTTGTTTCTCAATTGCTAAACCCAATAACTTCTTCTCATGTGCTTTTTCTTCAACTTTATTCTTTAATTTAGGTTTAAATTTCTCATCAAAACAAAAGAAATCAAATGGTGCGAATTTGAAAATGTTTTTATCATAAAATTGTTTATCGGTAACAATTGCTTGAAATGCTTGAGTGTTAGGAAGATTTGGATCGCCAGCAATAGCCCAATAAGATGAATCAGTATCACCTTCAATGAAATGAAAACGATTAACATCCATGCATTTATACATAAAATCATAAATGAAAACCAAATACCAGTATTTAGCATTATCTAAAGTAAAGAATGCCTCTTGTAAACATGTTTCACATCTATAAAATCTATCTTTGAGCATCACTTGATACGTATCCTCTCCTATTTCCCTTATGTTTTTAAACTTATTCGGCATACATGCAACGCGTGCCTTCTGTGCATTCATTATTTTAGTCTTTGCGTAATTTTGTGTATTCATTGCATCGTAACCATATGATCCATTAAGTGAAATCTTGCAAAATAAACTTTTTCCTTTATTTCCTTCTAATTCAGCCTTTTGTCTTTCGTTCATAAATTTGTTCGCAAATTCATTAAAACAAGTGTTTTTCGTAAATGTTAAAATTGATTGAATGTCATCGATGATAAAATTAAACCTGTCTATTAGATACTAAAGATAATAAGAAGAAAATGGTTGATATTGGTTGTGTGTTGATGCTAACTGAGTTAATTTTCTCTGTTTCTGGTCAACTGGTAGATTGTTTGATTTCATGTAATTATACATAAAACTGCCAATTGTTTTTTCATCTATGATAATATCTAAGTTTCTTATTATCGGTAAAAAGTTTATGTAATCATTAATGTATTTTTCATCAATGTGACCCTTTACTTCAGCCACGAATAAAGTATTTTTATTTCTAATAATTCCCAATGCTTTTGCTTTCTTTGTTGCTGTATCACAAATGATAACACCATTCAATCTTTCCCGGCATATACATTTTTATGGTCAGTATATTGAATGAAATCATGAGGATTAGATGAAAATGATGAAGATATAATAAATTAAAAATCAACACCAACAAAATTCATGATGTTGGTGGTGTCCTCATTTGATACAGTTTTAGTTTCTGGATTATATGAAAGTTTATTAATGTGCGTGATTCCTTTAAGATTAACACGATGTTGAACATTTGATAGACCACCAGTAATTCCATTACGGAGAATGTGATAAGCTTCAACTGAATCTAAAGTCATTGGTAAATTATTTTTTAATGCATAATTTCTTAAATTGATTCTTAAACGTTGAACATCTTCATCTTTATTTGATTTTACGACATTGCAATAACAACACATTAACTGACAATTTTCTTTAGTATGTGGTTTTTCATTATCGATTCTATCCAATGTTGTTTATTAGCATATGTAAACGCTTTACCACACATTTTGCATTTAGATGAAAGGATTAAATCGTGATAGTATTGAAAATCATCCATTGAAACATTATTTTTAGTATCTCTTTTTGCTTTTTCATCTTGTTTCTTATATGATTCAATTTTATATTTCCAATACTTTTTCGTTAATTCAAAACTTGATTCTATCTCTTCCTCAGGATATTTTTCATTATGATTAAAGTCTTTATATGCTAAAGCGTAACGAATCATTGAAGCATTCGATGATAAAGAAAGATTATGAAGCATATCAATTTTATAAACAAATGTTTCTTCAATAATTTTATCAATTGGGTCAATCATAATTTCAACATCTTTATTACAATAATGAATAAAATATTCTAATCTATTCTTAAAATTTTTAGCATCATTGAGATATATTTGATAATCACTATCTGATATAGTTTCTTGAGTTAATGCTGAATAAAATGAATCTTGAGTGAATGGTTCCACTTTATATAATTCTTCTTCGTAATTCTCCCATGTGATGAATTGATAAGGGAAAAAGGATTTAACACGTGATTTATTGTTTCCGAAATCTTGAGTGAATTGATCCAATGTCCCACCCGCTATATAATTTCTGATGTCAATAAATCTCAATTCATATGGAACGTTTGTTTCTTTACAATGATTTGCTTAAATTGTGAAGATGAACCCAGCATTGATTTTATTTTCCATTTTGCAGTGTTTAAATCACGAAGAATTAAATTTAAATCAAACTTTCCCGAATTAAAACCTATGATATTCACTTTATTAAATTCCTCATCTAGAAGTTCTTTAAATGCTTCCTTCTGTTTTTCATTTAATGTATGGGACAACAATAATTCATTGTATTGACTCATATTTGATTCAACAACTAATGAACAGGTTGAAAATAAAAACTCAATCCAATCAGAAATAAAAGAATCACTCGAAGTTAAACAAAAATTCCTCGTATATGTTTTATCGTTTAATTTAACCGTTGATGATACCATGAATGGTTTTAAGTAAGCATTCAAAGTTGCACACTCAGAAAGTTGTAATTCTTCTTTAGTCTCTAATGTTTCAAAGTCAAAAGTAATATAATATCTTGTCGGTGATAATATTCCTGCAAAATTGTGAGCTAATAACCACTGATATATCTTCTGTTTCGTAATATGTGGTGCATATGGTTGCTGTGTCTTTTGCAATTGAACGTCTTGAATTAATCTCCCATTATTTTCTTTACATTTCTCACAATGCTTTAAAAATCTTCTTTGGTTTTTCCTTTCTGGATCATCGCGAATAGAATAAACTTCTTCTTTACAATATGGACAAACTTTATAGCCGGTGAGTGCTTCAACGTCTGTTATTCTGTCAGCGTGAAGTTTTCCACATGAACTCTGTGTTAATAAAATATTTACTGTTTCAAATTCTGGATCTATCATTATTGATTCCACTAATGGAAAGTCTACCTTATTTATGTCCACGTCTTCTGGTTGAGGATCACAATAATAGAAATCAATATTAACATTTAACATTCTCGCTAATCTCTCACTTTCTGATGAAATGTCAAACCCTTCATATGCATCTATTGCTTCATTTAAATAGCTTCTACGAGTTTTAGGATTAACACCATCAGGAATGTTATAGAAGCGTTTAAATAACCTTCTACCTTCTGCTCTAATTTGATTATCATTCATTTTAGCTGTTCCGTTTTTGTTCATTTATGTAAGAATAAAAATTAAAAAATAAATAAAAATAAAGTTTTATTTATTAAAGCCCATAAAATGAATTAAGAATACATAAATTTTTATCATCTGCGACGTGACGAATACATTTTAATTTACTCAAGAATGCGTACCCTGATACATTAAATCTAATTCCTGTCTTATTTAATTTCACAACTTTGAAAAGGAATGTATGAATAGCTATAAAATGATGAGAAGATGTTTTATGGGTTGCTTCCATTTTTTCTGAAATAAATGAATAAATATAATGTTTATAAGTTTTCATATCTTTTATGTTCTTAATAATGAATGGTATAGACCTTTCAACTTCATCTTCCTTCGGTGCTGTTCTTTCATATGAAACATTATTGGTATCTTCAATAATGAAACCACAATCACACAAAATTTTATAGGTTCCAATGGTTTCTTTTGATATTTTATCTAATAAATCAAAAACTTTATCAACACCTGTGCATTTATTTAAATAATAATTTGTGTAAATATCATGATCTTCTTTCTTAATCGTATTAGTTGCATATGTCACGTTTTTAAGAGCTTTTTTGAATTTTTCGGAATCTAAAGGTGGTGAAAGTAATATACAAGGGTATTCTTCATTATCAATAAATTGTAACTTATGTTTATGAATAAATTTAGTTCCTTCTTCTGAAAGTGTTTCATCTATTTCACCATCTAATAAATTTTGTGTTGATTCTAAGACATAATTTTTATATCTTTCTTCATGAGATTTCTGAACTTCTGATTCTGAAGCTGGGATATTCATTAAACCCTCTACTTCATTTTCATTATATTTTTCAACTTCTCTTAATTCCTTAATTTTTTCATCTATTTCATCTCTTATTTTTTCCAGTTTTTCAATTTCATCATATTCATCATCTTTAATTCGTTCTTCATAATATTCAGGGAAAACATCAGGTTCTTTAGGTTTTTCTTTTTTAGAAGATGGATATAAGAAATTTATAACATCATCTTTATTCATTTTTCCATCATAATCAAACTCATTTAAAAACTCCGCAAATTTTTGACAATTTCTTAAATAATATTTATCAACTTCATAACCCGCCTCCTTTAATATATCCTTTATTTCCTCATTTGTGAATCCTAAATTTTTAACGCTGTTAGTTGTGACACTCATTTCATACGAATTAAAAATAAATTATTCAAAAATGTAAGACATGAATTTTTTAAAGTTTATTTTTCATTCAAATAATCATTAGTTTCTTAAAGTTCAATGTTGAACTCATCAAATTCTTCTTCATCATTACCATTACCAATAGCGAGTTTATTTATTCTTTCGATTCTATCTTTTGATAGTCTTGCGTTTAATTTTTTCTGAAGTTTTTCGTTACCAAGTTCTAAAATTTTACATGGATGATATTTAAACTCGTTAAATTCTTTTTCCTCAGTTTTAATCATTAATCTACAAAGAACTTTAGTGAAGTGATTTTGTTGTTTAAACCATTTATCATTAATATTTGTTATAAATTCAATATTCGGAATTAATTCCCAAATTTTTGAATTTTCGATTAATTTACCATCAAATGCAAAAGCAATAGGTTTAATATTAAACTTACCTTTATAAAATAAACTTTCTATGTAATCATCAAAATAAACGTCTACTTGTTTAACTTGGGCGAGAATTGGTGAAAGTTTATTCATTAATTGATTCACAGTCACGAATTTAGATTCACTCATTTCTTACGAATTAAAAAAATAAATTATTCAAAAATGTAAGAAGTTTAGTTTTTAATTTCTTTTTCTCGTTTATGAGGTCTTTGATTATGACTCCATTGATTCCATTCAGGATTTAAACAATGTTTAATTAATCGCGGAATATCTGACATCATCTATATATATATAGCTTCTTTTATTTTTTTTATTACATTTAATGTATGGGTTGAGTGTAAATGTCTTACAATTTTGTATCATTTTAAATCTTGATTTATTCAAAAACGTAAGAATAAAAACCGTAAGAATCATACATTTATTTTATCAATTGTATGAAAATTACTTACAAAATCGTTCAATATTGTATGAATTCTTACGTTTACAAAAAAAGTCACACAACCCGCCATATATACTACTATTATTTTAAAATTAAAAAAAATAAAGAAAGTATAATAAGTAATTATTTAGTTATCGATATATATATGTAAAGTGATAATCTGAGGATAATCTGAGGAGGAGTCTGAGGATTAGACCGAGGAGTAGTTTGAGGAGTTTGAGGATAATCTGAGGAGTTTGAGGAGTAGTCTGAGGAGTTTGAGGAGTAGTCTGAGGAGTTTGAGGATAATCTGAGGAGTTGTCTGAGGAGTAGTTTCAGGAGTTGTCTGAGGATAATTTGAGGAGTTTGAGGAGTAGTCTGAGGAGTTTGAGGATAATCTGAGGAGTTTGAGGAGTAGTCTGAGGAGTTTGAGGAGTAGTCTGAGGAGTTTGAGGATAATCTGAGCATAATCTGAGGAGGAGTCTGAGGATTAGACTGAGGAGTAGTTTGAGGATAATCTGAGGAGGAGTCTGAGGATAATCTGAGGAGTAGTTTGAGGATAATCTGAGGAGGAGTCTGAGGATAATCTGAGGAGTAGTTTCAGGAGTAGTCTGAGGACTAGTCTCAGGACTAGTCTGATGAGGAGGACTCTAAGGAGTAGTCTGAAGAGTAGTCTCAGGAGGAAGATCTGAGGAGGAGTCTTATGAGGAGGGGTCTAAGGAGTAGTCTGAGGATGATGAGTAATCTGATAAGGAGTAGTCTGAGGATGATCTGAGGATAACCTGATGACTAGTCTAGGAGTGGTATAATAAAAATGTAAAATATTTTCAAAGAAAAAATTCTATGAATTTTATATTTTAATTCTTAGCATTATACTGAATAAAATAAACATAAATATCAAAATTTGAAATTGAAAACGCCAAAAAATTGATAATCCACATTCAATATTTTGTAAGTGGCGTACATTTTGAATACTCGCCATACGCCTTGGAGTTCTCAATTTTGAATTCGCCTTTATTTGGGCGACCTCAGAAAAATACGCCATTAAGAAAATATTGTATGAGATTTTAAATTTGAACACGCTCTACCTTAAGGAAGTAAATTTATTAAGATATATTTATATATAATAAACGATTACTTAAAAAAAAGTATTTCATCGCTTATGTAAGTTTCAAAAAAATCACGAAAATAAAAAAATCAAGATTAAAATTTTATTTTTAATTTTTGAATTTCTCAAATGGCGAAATTTTTGGGCGAACAAAAAAAATGTACGCCCGGTCAAATGGCGTGTTTAACGCATCCCTATTCTGAAAATATTTTTTTTCGAAAAAATTCGAAAAAAATTCTTAAAATTCAAAAATCCCTTAATTCCTGAGGATTTTGGAAAAAAGTTTTTACATGAACATGTGTATATTATATGAAGTATATTGATAAGGTAAAAATCAAATTTTATTGCATATTCATCGAGAAAATAAACTAACGAATCCCTCAAAATTGAGAGGGTAATCCTCCTCCTCTCAAATAAACGTACATACGGGTGCACCCTTAAATGAGTAACCAGAATAAAAGTGATGTTTTAATTTGGAGCAAAATTAAAATAAAAATACCATTAATTCACATTAATTTAGGTCCATTTTTTATCTTGAAGTGATTGATATTTCAAATCAAAGTTTGGAGCAAATTTATAATATCTATAAAGAAACTCCATTTTTTGATAACAATACACAAATGCATTATTGTTAACTCAATGAAATATGATGGAATCAAAATAATTTCATGTTTATTAAATAAAATACAAACAAATTTAATTAAGTACGGGATGTATTCAACATATTAATTACCTTCCTCCCGTATTCTTCTATATTATCGATATAAGATCCATTATCAATAAGAAAGTTAATTGCATCAATTGCGTCATTAATAAATTCTTGAGGCTTTTCGATTTTAATACTTCGACAAATGAAAGCAAAAGCGTATTTCTGTATTTTCGCGTCATTTGCATACAAACCTCTCACAGGAAAAGAGAATCCAAACAATGACCAAAGATCAGTATCATAATTATTTGCCATCATAGACATAACTTTAAAAATAGAAACAGATATCATAGGATCAGAGAAGTCATAGTTGTCACAATACTGTCTAATGATATTATGATCAAAAGAACTCTTCAAAAGAGGTAAAATTTGAAAATGATAATATTGAATTATTCCATTTTCAAGAATATAATAAAAATATTGACATATCTTATCAATATTACTAATATTATTTGCAGAAAGTGTTAAATAAATGAAATTATATACCCTATCCTGCACAAAATCATCATTAATTACAGTTACATTTTCAATTTCATCAAAAACCATGTCAAAAGTACTAACAACGAACTGATGAACATTATCTTCGACCTTTAAATCCTTTAAATAACTACTTAGAACACATAACGACGTCAATAATTCTTTAATTAAATTTTCATCATTTGTTTTCAAAATATTTTCAATTGTTGATGAAATAGAATCATAAATCATTGTTAATATATCAGTATTATAATTAACATTCATTATTGAAATTAATGAAATTATCAAATAAGGTTCAAAACCGTTTTGTAAAGTATTCAAAAATGGCATCAAAATTTCCAAATTTTGATCTTTAAATAAATTGACATTTCTCGATATAATATGGGCGAAAGCCTTGAGACTATTTTTCTGGTCAACATCTATAAACATCGAGGATATAGTTATAAACTCATTTAGATAATCAGTCATTTCAAATCCGATGTTTTGAATAAATAAAAGTGACAAAATTGGAAAATTTTGACATTGAATTAATTTTTGACAGATTAAAGTTTTGATTTCGACTGGTAACAGATGCGATCCTATATATGAGGCTGCGGCTAACATGCCATCTGATATTTCAGCGTTTTCTAGAACTTCAAAACATAATTCAGGTGAAATTTTCCAAATTCTTTGAAATAAATTGTTGATTTTGTTATGAGGGTATCCATTATCAACTGAATTTATGCAAACAATAAACAAAGGTTGTGATAATTGTCGAAATTCTTCATTTTCTGATGCCATTTCGTCAATTTTTGATGTGTAATGCTCTAAAAACAATGAATAGTCATCTTCATTATCTGTTGTGTAGTTTTCTGGTATAAATTCTAAAATTTTGACTAAAAAATTAAAAAAATCTTCTGATTTGGAAAATAAATCACATCTCGACCAAAGAAAGAAATTAATTAGAGTTATTATATTATGGTATGTTGAATATTTCGTTTCATTTGAAACTAAAAATTCAATTACATTTTTTGTCAATTCAAAAATTAAATAAATGAATTTCTGTTCGTCATCATGCGATGGATCAAGAGTACTTGCATTGTAAACGAAATTAATGATCGATTGGATATCAATTTCTGAATTTATACTGTTATTAATTTTTTCTATCATGAAAATGAATTCTCCGAACTGATCATAGGCTAAAATCATATTAGAGGCGACTTCTATCCAGTTTTTGTTCACTTCTGACTCTGAAAACAAAGGAATGAATGATTGAATGGTTTCTTTCAGTTTTTCAGCTGCAAGTTCAGCAAGATCGTAAGGTCTATATATTGCTTGAATATAGTTTATGCAAACTTCATTAACAACTGCGTAAATATGTTGATTTTTTTCTGAAAATAATGAAATAAGAGGAGGACTATCAGGTGTTAGCAAGTACAATCCTGCAATGCAGTTAATGACTAAATTGTCAAGACCTTCTGTCGTTTTGTCGAGAAAATTTATCAAAATTTGTATCAAAGGAATTCGTAATTCTTGTGCAATACGGTGTAATCGATATTTAATTGTTGATTTAATACCAGATATGACAGTGTTATAGACTGGCAATGGGTATTCTGATTGCAATATTATTAAAATTTGTTCAAAAGCTTGATCTGAAAGTAACCAATCCATAATGCATATATTTGCTTCATATTTAGCATGATTGTCTGTTTCATTGCTGAATAGAATCATTATATTATTGATGAGTTCATCCATTCAACAACAAAGAAAAATAATGAAAAACATGATAAAGAGATTATTATAATTTAAAGAAAATCAGACTATTCAGAGCGAATTTACTCTTAATATGAAAGATTACATATTTTTATATCAAATTCTAACATGAACAAGTGAACTTAAAATATGATTCTTTCTTCAATCTTAATATATCGGTATATGACTTTGCTTGACTAAATGAAAAAGAATCTTTTATTAATTCATAGCAGCTCTAATTGTTCTATGTCTATGATTGTTTTCTCTAATTGTTAACCTCTCAGGTGTCACCTTCGATTGGCCAGTAAAATTTTGTGAAAGCAATCATAGACTCAAAATGTGATTTCTGAATATAATTTCAAGATGTTCAATTGCAGACTTGAGAGTTGATGGAATCTCCTTGAGCTCCTCATATCATAATAAGCAATGTTCCGCTTGGTAACAGGAAATCTTCAACTTCAGTGAATATATTAAAAAATAAAAGAATAAGAAAAAAACTAATTTTACTTTAGTCAAAATTACTGTTTCAGTGGTGGTCTGTTTGGTTCTTCTGTTTTGTGGATTTTCTTTCTTCCTGCCTTGATTACTCCCTTAACTTTCTTCTTCTCAGCTGGTTTCTTCTCTTCTGGCTGTTGTTTCTCTTCTGTCTTCTTTGTTTCTTTTTGTTTTGGCTGAGACTGTTGTTGTGGAGCTTGTTGTTGAGCAGGTTCGTTTAAGTTTATGTTTGCGAAAGCATCAGCGAGAGGATTTGCCTTCTTTTCAGGTTGTTGACCGAACAAAGGTTTCTTTGCAGCCTTGATTACGATGTTTCCTCTGTCAGTGTTCTTGTTCTGTTTCCTTACTTTGATCTTTGGCTTTGTTTCATCATCCTTTCCTTTCTTATCTGATGATTTCTTCTTTCCTTCTTTCTTCTTGAGCTCTTCAGCTGTTGCTGCGACAAGAGGATCAACTGGTCCATCCTGATCTTCAGCCAAGAAGTCGTCGTCATCATCATCAACGTTGAAGTTCAATTCGACATCGCCATTGATTTCTTCAGGAACTTCAAGAGGAGGAAGTGAGTCTTCATCGTATTCAGCTGTCAACTTGTCCTTGATCTCCTTGAACTCTTCTGAATCTCTCATGTCCTTGAACGTGTCAATTAACTGCATTGTTGTAACAGCTAAATCTTGTACTTCAGCGTATATTCCTGTCTGGAAATCAGGTAATCTTTCAGCGAACAAACTCTCTGCTTGTTTGAAAGATTCTTCACTATCGCATCTGATATACAACTTGAAAGCTGTTGACAATGCGCTGACTTGTACACGTTCATCACAGAACAAAATGTTCTCAGTAATGATCAAAGGAAGTGGCTTGGAATTCTCCGAATACTCACCAATGATGTAAAGAGCTGTGAGAAGGAGTTTCGTTGCATCTCTGTAATTCCTCATGCTCAAGATCTTTCCCATCATTTCAACAAGTGATTCGCGTGTTGCTGGAACACGTGTAGCCAAATCCATGAATTGGTTGGAAATGATATCGAAGCATGTGAAGCCGCCTTCGTCAAGGAAGTCACCAATAACTTGTATGTACCAGTTGAAGTCCGAAATAACTGCGTAATCGTTCTTGGAACAGACTTCAATGATGCGTGTAATGCATGTATTCTTAAAACTGACAGATATTGATTCCTTGAAGTGAAGGAACATTTTGGCAACGATACCGTCGATAGTCTTGGAGTTGGCGAGTGCCATTAAGAGGTCGAGAGCGAGTAAACGTGTTGCTTCATCGCTGGAGTCGAGGCAATTTGAGATGATCTCCTTGTTTTGGGCAACAAGCTTTGGCTGGATCTCCATGAGCTTGATGAAGAGCTTGAGGCAAAGGAAACGAAGGTTTGCATCGGAGTTGTCGATGAAATTCTTCATTCTTTCGGTGGCATATGTAAGAAGAACGGTATTTGTAATTGGAACTTCGATGATTGTTCTGACTAATTCGAAGAGAACTGTTGCAGAGCCTGTTGTCTCGAGTAATGTTGTAAATGTTGGAATTAACTTCTTTGGAAGGCGTGGTTCGACTTCGCAGAGCATGCGGAGGAGGATAATGAGTTTGAGGCAGATCCAGTTGCTGGCTGGAGCTTCAAGCATCTTGTAGAGCTTTGGAATGAGAGATGTGAAATTCTGTGGATTATGGCGGCAGAATTCTGTCATTACGTTCAATGTTGCGAATAAAACAGATGGCTCTGAATCATCAAGGCGGGCCTTGAGAGCTGGGAATCCTGTTCTTAATGCGTCTGGATAAACAACGCAAATGTTGTAGAAGTTGGCAATTGCCTTCTGGCGGATGTCAGCTCTTGCGGATGACATGAACGATACAACATCATTGGCTACATGCTGGGAAATTGGAATTGAAAGATATGATGGGATACTGCTTAAAACAAGAGTTGTAAATAAAGGATTGTTTGTTGTAAGATCCTTTCTGACTCTGTTTGTGGCCATGAGAACGACGTCGGAGTTGGAATTCCAAAGGAAACCGGCAGCTGTGTAGCAAAGCCTCTTGAGAGAGTAATCATTAGAAGAGAGGACTTCAAGAATCATGAAATCAGCCCAAGCGGTATCATAGCCTAAGAGATTGAGGAAGATAACCTGTTGAACAAGTGGTCCTTTGTCTTCGTCCTTGAATTCTTTGGCGTTTTCTTGGATTTCGGCCACTAATTCTGAAATGAATTCCTCAACTGTGTTGTTGAGTGTAGAAGCAATGTAATCTCTTACTGCATCTGCAAGGGAACGACGGATTAATTGCTTTGATGCCTTCTTGACTTTCTCGCCGGCTTTAACAATGCTTTCGCCAGCTTGCTTAGAAATTTCTTTTGTCTTCTTACCGAAATTGATTAATTTATCCATTGAATGACTATAAAAGTGGAAGCAACGATGAAATGTAACTCAAATGAAAAATTGAATGTACGGTTGAAACTTACACTCTCAATTTGATTTTTAGTAATAAGATTAATTACTGCAATTAAATACGAATTTCCAAAATTAACGATTGGAATAAAGCGATGAATTTGTTATCAAATTGAATTTTAAAAAGTGACAACTGTTTTTAAATTCATCATCATAACAAAATGTTTATTCATTCTTGCTGAATTAAGATCATCTCTGATGCATATGTAGGGAACGTTTCAATTGAATATGCATTAATACTTCATATGGTTTGATTTTTGGTTTTAAATCAAATTAAATTACCGATTTAAATTGCTGAGATAGCAACACAAGTTACGTTTAGTACTTCTAGTACAATTTATTGATTTTAAGGTGATATTATCATTACAGTATACGGAAAAAGTGGGTCTTAAAATCATTTTGGGTCTTATTTTTAACCGCAAAATTCCCACAATTTTGAATACTTTGGCAAAAAAATTTGCAAAAACATAGCGTCTATATACTATGTATATTAAGATTTTGCAAAGTGTCAAAAAATAAAAAAAATTTTAAAAAAATTTTAGGGAGTTCGAAAAAAGTAATGATTGTAAGAGATGGGAAGTATTTACGCTTGAAGTCGGAGCGGATATGAAAAGCATTTGTAAAGGCACATATCTTGGTATGCAAAATTGAGATACTGTGTTGAAATCTACAAAATTCAAAATCTAACACAAGTTTCTCTGACCATATTAGACTCGTATTCTTTCTCTGTTGTATGAGATTTAATGAAAATGCTCGTTAATAGATACACATCTATTTAAAAATGATATCCGTTATTAAATCATATGCTCTGTGGACACAGAAACTTGTGTTTTCGACTTTGTAAGTTGGTGATGAGCGATGTGAATGGGTCAGTTTTGTTAGAAAAGTCATCTGTGAAAAAATCGTTAATTGAACAATATGTAATAATTTTTGAAAATGAAGTAAGCAGTATATTGAAATGTGCAGTATTAAGCTACTCTTTGACCTTGTAAGTTTTGATCAATTATGTAGCTGAAGGTATATTACAATCAAATTACAAAACAGTTATAAGATTTTCTAATCCTAAATTCAAAATATATGAACTTTGATCTTTAAATTTTAAATTATTTTGAGAAAGAAATATTGTTAATCGCTTAATATTCTTATGTATATAAGTTGATTATGCAGCTGTGTGTCAAAATCCAATTTCTAATACCAATCTCATTTATTGTTCAAATTATTTTTATTATTATAATCATGAGATCTGGTATTATATGAATAGCATCACATATCAACATAAACGTGAGTAAATTTCAAAATTGCAAAACAATCACCTCAATTACTCTATTTATTCATATTAACTTATTTTCGATATACCCATTTAATTAGTTTCATCTATGTTAGCATGTGACAATAGATATTTGAAGCTTATATAATGGATTGCCGAAGAAATTAACAAAAAATTCTTATATTTTTGATTTATGATCATACAAACATAAGAACTTACAACAAATGTCATTTTAATACATAATTACTATAGTTGGATCTCAAATTAAAAATAATATTATATTTGGATATTACCCTCAAATTTTTACTTTTTCAATTTCCCTGAGATCAAAAATTTGATTATAACCGAGTCAGATTCTAGCATTTGTTCATCATAGTATTACCATTATAAAGGTTCTTTGATATCCTATACTTCCATATCAGTGTTGGTCTCTATTGTATTTCAAATAGTTCTATAATTTGAAAAAAATTCTCCATATTGAGTTGCAAAAGTAAAAAATTGAGATTCAAACAGACCATTAGATACATGTTATAACCAATCAATATTTTCATAAGAATAAAAATTTTTTAGAATATTGTTTTATGTTTTTTATAATTTACAGTCTATTTGTATCTACCTATCTTAAAATACATTTTTTGTTTGTAATCGCTCTTCCACCTATAACAATATAGAACAATTCTGAAAATTTAAATGTTTTGATATGGATAATTCAGTTATACTAAGATTGACTAAGTCTCTTGGTATGAATAGTGAACTTGAGAACATCCAATTGATTCATATTAATAAATTTGAGTCAAATTCACACAATTATTATTAGAAAATTTAATTTATTCAATATATATGACTAAAAACAGTTTACTTGTTTCTTACTAATAGCAATCTTCTATTTATTTTTCAAGTATAAAAAAAGAAAAAAAGAAATGCGTGGCACTTAATTCGAACTCGGAACCCCAAAAATATAGCCAATCCGGCGGTTTTAACCGTTAGACTACACCTCAATTTCATACGAAGTTTATTTCACAGATATTTATGCAGCCCACCCTGTCAAAAAAATAAGACCAAAAGTGAGCTTAAGACCTAAATTTTCCGTATACTGTTAATAATCATTCTTTATTCAAAACTAAGTATGTCTCATAGACAAAATGTCTATCAAATAATATAAATAAAACTTAAGATTTAATTATCTGAATCTTTTGGATCTTGGAATAATATTATAATTTTCGCATGTACAATGAATAGTATTATGTGCATTATGATTAACTATTTTTTTAATAACTGTTCCATATTCACAATCTAACTTGGCATCAATATTGGCTGTAAAATATGATGATATCTTACTTTTTGCTGTAAAATTACCATAATTACTGTTTTTATTGTCATTGCAATAACAATTATTTAACTTAAATTTTCCTTCAGTCTTAAATATATTGGAAACATTATTTTTTGTTATGCATGAAAAGGATATTGGCACTCCATCATCATATTTATAAAATAAATTACCTATGCCTATACCATTATTGATAATATTGCAGTTATTAATTTCAAAATCTTCTGGACTTAAATTATGTTGAAGGAAATTATTTTTCCCGATATTATCAATAAAATTAGAAAAGTTAACACGAGATCTTTGAGATCCTGTATCAAGATAATAACATGGTGTATATTTGCATTTATTTGACGTGATATTAGAGTTTTCGATTGATTGTATTCCTTGATTAAGATATAGAAGCATTAGAGAATTTTCAATATCTCCGTTATTAGTTGCTGAACAAAAAACAAAATAATTTTTATTATTTGTTGATACTTTGGTATATGTCGTAAGTCCTTGTTTACTGCCAATATTTGAGTCAAAACAAAGTTTATTATGAACGATAGATCCGAGATCACCAAAATATATAACACAACCTTGATTAATATCGTCTTCTTCTGTTTTTCCACATTTGAAAAATGAAGAACTCTCTATTAAAATGCATGTGCCATGCTGTGAACTAGTGATTGATATTGCTCTTTCTTTGTTTAATTCTATAAATTTGCAATTTGATACGTAATAGTTGGTATCAGTAAGATTAATTGTGGGATTTGTTTGATTAGAAACTTTATAGTTATTTACCATATAATAATCACCCCATGATTTTTGTAATTCGGAAAAAAATTAAATTGACCAATTACCGTTACCTGAGATCTATCTTTCATTATGATATAACTGCTAATAAGAATATATATGCTAATCTTAGAGAAATCGCGAAGTAAATTCAATTTGGTGTATCTAAAAAAATGAAATTTGAGAATTTTCAGAAAATTGAGAAGGTAGTGTCAACAACAAGTTTTATATTTCCGAAAGTGCTCTAATATCAAAGCAGTTTGACTTTTTCATTCCGATAATCCAAATTTTGATAAATAGGACCGAATTTCAGATTTTAACATTATATTTGGAAATATGATATGAAAATTATTACATGTTAGTGTTTTTTCAAAATTGAATTTAAAACCGTCGATCTACCATCATTAATCCCTAATCAAACCGCAAAAGGACATCTCTCAATTAACCGTAAATTCTCAAATTACTTTTCAATGAATACTCAAAGTAATATGATTTAATCATTATGTATATTGATATTTTTATAAAATTTGCATGTTGGAGTCTTTTCAATATTTATTGGATTTGACACTTCTCGCAAATTTGTTCATAAATACTTTTTTTGTATTAGACAATCATTGTGCTTAGGTATACTTTTTTTCAGACTGATCAGAAAAAGTAAACTTCTTTACCGATGTTGCAGATAAAGTGGTTAACAAGAATAAATGAAAAAAAAGTTTATATCTCTTCATTGATGCGATTGCATTGAATATATCTTTTTCGAGGCGTAGTAATTTATAGATCCTACTAGGCTACCAATTTGTATGATCAATAATTTCTTTAGATTTTACTAATGATATGAAATAAAGTTGAATCTTTACTAAAATAGATACCCTTATTACCAATGTTGGATAAGATGCATTTATTTGTATCTTGAACTCACCCGATTTAAATCAGCCTGCTTTTATGACATCAACTTTATTTTGTAACTAGTACTTAGGTCAGGTAAGTGGGGCTTCCAGGCGCGTTGCGCCCTCTAGCCCATAAGAAATTTTGCCCAAGACCCAAGAGGAGGACTGACCCTGCCAAATTTTCCTGGCTGTCACTTTTTAGTTTACAATATATAATAATAAAATGAAATTTTTTATTGGAACGGTTTTAGTTATCTTCTTCTGAAGTTTCTTCTTCATCATCATTTGTTATAGGGTCTCCAACATATCCAGCAATGAAGATACGGATGCGTTGGTTGAATGGTGTATGGAGAGAGAACTTGGAGTTTCCAACAAATTGGAATTCGCAGTCCAATTTGAGCTGTGCTGAGGAGGAGGTAAACTCGGCTATTTTAAGCGGCTCACGTCCTTGACGAACATTATATAGAGAAACACTTTGACCGAATGTAACCCTTTCAGGCTCAACCATAGCAATAGTTGAAATTACGTGAAGAAAGTCTTCATAGAATTGTTTTGGTTGTATTGTGAATGTCTTAGCAAGCTTTCCTTGAGGAACATCTACATAGAACTTGAAAGAAACAATAAGAATTACCGAAAAAGTGACAAAACATCAAAAACAGGGAGGGTGTCTCAATTTTTATTACTTATATTATTTTACAATATTTATATAAATACTCTTTATAATATATTTTACTATAAAATTATACCTCAAATTCAAATATTTAAAATATTATTTACATAATTATCTCAAAAAAAAAAAAAAAAAAAAAAAAAGGTAGTGGGGCCTCCAGGCGCGTTGCGCCCTCTAGCCCTGAAGTTTTTTTTTTCTTGGGATGGGCCTCCAGGCGCGTTGCGCCCTCTAGCCCATAAAAAATTTTTGAGAGTCGTCGCCGTTGACTTTTTTTGTAGAGCACTCAAAATAGTATAACTTTGTCCGGACAAGTAAGGGTCTATCGTCGCTACAGGAAAAGTTACGGGCGTTCCAAGGAAGTATACTTTGAGAAGACTTTCCCCCTTATAGAATGAGATAGGACGGTTATTTTACAAAACTGACAACACTTTGACCGAGTAGTTTTTTGTGCTGAACAAAAAGTGTCATATAAACATCTGTCAAAAACCGCTTTTTAACTTCACTTAAAATGCCACGTAAGCTACGTAAGAATATACGTAAGAGGAAGAGAGCATTGAAACATCCAATAGTAAAACTGACACCACAACAACAGTTGCAACAACAAATGCTGAATGACCCCACTATGTTGCAACAAATGTCAAGCAACCCTATGCTCTTAAACCGAGTTCTTGGTGCACAGAGTGGAGGTTTAAGAGCGGCACTTTTAGCGAAAATGGCAGGCTATGGTGGAGCTGCAGACGGAACAGCCTATAACCCTCAAAGTCAAATGAATTTGAGTTCACTCAAAAATCAAATATCAGATGTCAAAAAGTCAAACATAGACATACAGAAGCAAATAAGTGAAAACGAAAAGAAACTAGAATATGACAGACACACAAAGAAACTCAATGAGTTAAACGTAGAGAAAAAGAAGAAAGAAGAACAACTGAAAGAACTAAGTACAGAGGAATATGCGAAAAAAGTGTCAGAAAAAGCAGCAGAAGTAGCAAAAATGGAACAAGATGTTATAAATTTGAAAAACCATACTACTCAATATAAAGTACTGAAAGATGAAGAGATAAAACAAAAAGCCCTGAAGACATATATGGATAGCGATGAGTATAAAAAAGAAGTTGAAGCAAATGTAAAGGCAGAAAAACTTTTACAGTTGCAAAACCAAACCGTACAGTATGAAAACTTAGCACAAGAAAGTAAAAATAACGACGCAGCCATGCAAAAGGCAATGAAAAGCGCAGAATATATAAAAGCTAACAATGACTGGTTAGATGCCCAAGCCAACGCTAAAGCAGCCCAGCTTATAGGGTCAATAAGGACAAAAATACAAGCGGATGAAGACAGTTCAAATGAAGCTTTAACAAATGCTGACTTTAAGAACGCCTTCGAAGCTCTTCATAGTAAGGTGAAACAAGTGAACGACTTCTCATCTGGAAAGAAACTGAAGTCTGAAGGTTTCGACAAAGAGTTAAAAGAAGTAGCACAAAATATAACGAAAATAACAGATGCAGCAACGAGACAGGCAGTTCAAAGTGCCTATGACGCCGTTAGAGCAACTGTTGTGGAAAGTCAAGAAAAAGAGTTACAACAGACCAAAACAGACCTAGTAAATGCTTTCTTAAAAACGAAAAGTCAGGTAGGACACTATGCTGCAGATGGAACATATGTGCCAGCTGGTGGAACTTATATACCAGCTGGTGGAACTTATATACTAGCTAGTGGAACTTATATACCACCAAACCCTCCAAGAGAAGCACCTGCACCAGGACTACCTAAAACATTTACATCGTCACATGGACACAGACACAGGCATGCACCAAAACCAACACAACAACCAACAGTTCAAAATCCAGCACCACAACAACAACCAGCACAACAACCACCTCCACAACCAGCACAGCAACCAACAGTTCAAAACCCTGCACAACAACAACCACAAACAGAGCAAGGACATAAAAGAAGTAGAGAACAAGGAAACCAAGATTTCTTAAAAATGCTTAAAGAAGACTATGGTTACCCAGATACTCTTGACTTTAGTGACAGATATAAAGAAGCTATTAGAAAGTTCAAGGAAGGAAATACTGACCCGAACCTATTTAGCTTTATGGTTCAGCACCAAATGGGATATAATTTCAAACCTGGAAAATACAAGCTCGCTAAGGGATATGATTTAATAGCATATCATCCAAATGACATGACTGAATTTACTCCGAGATATTTGGTGTCAGAGCTAAATGACAATTCAACTCTCTTCATGAAACGCGTAAAAAATAAAGACGGAACGAAAGAAGAAAGGTTTATGAGTCCGGATGACTTAGATAGGGAACTTGTTAAAAACGGTCTCGGAATATATGAAATGCCAGCAGATGAGGTACAAGAAACTCCACAGGAAGAAGTTCAGATACAACCAGACATGGAAGAAATAGTTCAGCAACAACAGCTAGAAGAGCCTGAAGGAAACGAACAAGTCCCTCCTTTGGAAACTAACTTCACAGAACTAGATGAAGATTTGGAACAGCCGAAAAATCTTGACCCTCAACAAGAGTATGAGGTGAATATGGAATCTTTCCAAGAGTCTAAGAAAAATTCGGCTGACATGGTAGAAGAATATCGAAAAATGTTTGCCGACATACAAAAGACTCCAACATCAGATGAAAATATTCAGCATAGAATGGAAGAACTGAAAGAAAATGTACACAAATACAACAACCCTTTTTACTTACGAGCATATAACGTTCAATCTTTGGCTGAACTCGGTGAAAATAAAAGGTTAAATTTCAACAAAACATATAGAAATGAAACATTGTTTAAAGTTCATTCAGAACCTAGCCAATATGGAAACAAACCTACTTTTGTTTCTGCAGACTATGGAACTACAATGAGATGGGGTCATAAAGCTAACCCGGATAGGTGGTTCATAAACTTACAACCACAATTCCAAGATGTTGTAGACGCAATGGAAATGAATGGTGAACCAGATTTAGCTGGTATTTTCAGCGCGGCTTTAATGCCATTGAAAGATATGAAAGATGCAGATATTTTGAACCAGTATGAAATGAACATGGCTGATGGAAATATAACACCTGACGTTCTAAAACATTTATCTCAAAGAACTACACAGAACCATAGAGATGGTATATTTGGTGAAGAGTTTAGAAAGAGAGTTAGGGAGAGAGAAGGAAGAGAACCTATTGTACATGACCTTGCAAACGAAAGTTTGCAAAATGTCATAAAAACTTACTTTGCAGACAATGAACCGAGAAGGGATGAATATTTAAGAAAACTCAAATGGACAGTACCAAATGAAATGTTAGTATTGAAAAACATGTTCCTTGACAAAATAAAACCAACTACAGAAATAAATGACCCAAGCCTGAAACGTTGGGTAAAAGCTTTCCCATTCACAAAAGATATTGTTGGTAACATGGAAAGAAAACCAGAATGGCTACAAAAACATATATTTGGAAACGAGCTTATTCCATATGGACAAGCTCTGTTTGAAGAGCTTGAACCGGAAACTCAGGAAAGAGTCATGCAAACAATACGCGAAGACTCAAATACAAACTATGACGAAATCTTTCTAGGATATAGGATACCTGAGATGGGAGACCAGAGCCTAAAGGCAAAAAGGACATGGGAAATTTACAACATACTAGGTGAACATGATGCAAAGATGCAACAACTTGAAGCAGAGGGCATGTTACCAAAAGCGACACCAAAGAAGAAGAGAAGAGTAGAACAAAGTGAAAGTAGTGAAGAAGTAACTTCATCTAGTGAAAGTAGTGGCAATGAAGGAAAAAGAAGAGTTAAAAACTCAGCCAGGAAGAAAGTAAAGCTTGGTCCACGTGGGTTCTATTATGACAAATAAATCCAACTATTCTATATTTTTACCCATATGAAATGTACGCCGCTCAGAATATAACGCCAACAGTTTTGGATGCCATGAACGGAAATGTTTCCGAATGGTATAACGAATGCGACAATGCCATTAGAAGGTCAGAAATAGTTCCTGGAACTTACGAATATACAACTGCTATTTCTTATGGAAACGTAGGTGAGTTTGGAGAAGGTTCTTCAACAACAGTAGATATTGCTTGCGACAGGTTTCACATTATTTCTATTGACAACTCATTCTTATACGTGGAACAAGACATTGAAATAAAACCTTCTGCCAAGTTGTCTGACAAGAAAGGTTGCAATGGAATTTTCTATGTCGGATACCAATATGCTCCAGAAGTTTTCATGGGATATAAGATATATTCTAACTCTGACTTAGTTCAAACAGTAACATGGGCAAACTATGAATGGTTCGCTTTGAGAAACTCAGTACAACCACAAGCTAGAGAACAAACAGACCAGTATGCAACTATTGAGAAAATAAGAAAACTTGACCCTAACGTTCCAGGAGTTTAGTTGACCTTTCTGGACAAACTGCAGCAGCAGTAACCAAAGTAAAACTGAAACTTAGAGTTCCTTTGTCATCTTTCCTCATCTTCAGGTTTTTAAGATACTTGCCAAACTGGGCAGGAAAAATTTCTATCGAACTTACTCCAAGCAAAAATAACTTAGTCATTGCACCAACACAAGACCCATTCACTCTTACAGATACAGCTGGTGGAGCTGCCAGCATACCATTTGGAAAATGGTGCAAAGACAAAGTTGACTTAGACTTTGGTTTCTCAAACTTCAACAATGAAGTAAACTACTACTTCTCAGGAACAGCAGACAACAATACTGCTTGGGACCCAGTTAAGTTCACATGCGAAAAGTTTGAATGCAAGAGAATAGAAAGCAGACTTGCAGTCTATATGTTGGACCCAGATATTTCAAATGCTTTAGCTGCCAAATATATTGCAGTTCCACTTATGTTCACTATACACCAAATATCTGTCAAAGACTTTGCAGGTGAAGTTGGAAACCAAAGTGCTGACCCAGGTGCAAGAACAGATATTGCTTTAACAACTGCAATGAAACATGCAGATACTATGTTTGTTCTTTTCAGACGAACTATAAATGACTATTCTTGTTTCTACAACCCCGGTATTAAATATCATATAAACATAGATGGCAAATATTATCCAAGAGAAGAATATTCTACAGTTGAGGATATGAGGTCATACAACTTGACATTAGATGCTATGAACTTTAACAACAACTTCACAACAACCATTAACCCTGAAATGCAAAGTTCTATTATGCCATATGTGAAAGTATGGACTCATACAGGAGGTCAAAAAACTCAATATACAAATGGAGACCGTTCAAACTTTTGGCTTGGCATTCCATTTGCTGACTCAGAAGACTTTATGGGTGGTATTTCAACTGTTGGTACTGTACAAATACAATATACTGGTGACAGAGACGGTCCAGATGAATTGAAAGCAAAGAAGTTTACAAAACCAATAGCACTTTTCACGGAAGATGCTCTTTTGAAGATTCGTTCGATGAAACCTGCTGGGGCTCCTCAGATTGGCATAACGACAGCTTCCATCGAGCAGATTTTGGCAGCAGGTCAGTAAGTTGTTCTTGAACTGACTTCTCTCCGTCAAATATTGACAGTACGCCAGTTTTGACATAAAATTGTATTATAAACTTACCTTTAGAAATATCTGTAAGTTTTGTTGTTATATTTTTGTCTGCTTCAAGAACTTTCACCATTTCAGTTATACCAACTTTCTTTGCTTTATGAAAATATTTTGGTTCAGCAAAGACTGCTATTCTATAACATTTTCCATTGTTTGTGTAAAGAACTATTCTGTCAATGTATTTGTATTGTTTGTGTGTGTAAACTTTGTTCTGCTTCAATTCGAAGAGATATCCGAATACGTCCATCTTTTTATTCTAAGTAAAATGTCATTTCCGAAAAATAGAAGCGTAAGTGTTTCAAAAGGTTTAATGGCGGTGGCAGATGTGAAGTTAAATTCACCAACTCAAACAAACAGTCAAAGTGTTATTGTCAATGTCAAAGAAAGAGATGTTGAAGTGGGGAAACCATACGAAGACGAAGATGGTATAACAATTGTTCCTGTAAAAGAACAACCAACATACCCTGAAGTTAGCAGAGACTTAAGTTCTGTTGCAGATATTCGAAATGACTACCAACAACTGAAAAACAAACTTCAAACTCAGGAGAAGATTTGTCAAGCTTTAGGTATAATGTTAAACTTGGTCGAACACAACCCTGTAAAAGTGAACTCATATGTCATTGCACCTCATGAAGTTTTGAAAGAACTATTGAAACTTTTGACAGAGGCAGACGATATAAACATCAAAGAAATAGAACCCGACGTTAGTTGCTGTGGTGTTTCATATAATGTCATTGACAAGATATACGTTATGAAAGGAGGTGAAACGTTGAACTTAAAATATAGTTTCCCAGACGTTATAAAAATATTTGACGACCACAACATTTCATTAAAATTTATTTGCTAAGTAAAATGGCAGAAGACACAATGGTTTATACTATTACGACTAAAAACCCTGAGTCATATAATTCTATAACAACAAACTTACAAAGTCCTCAAGGACGATATTGTAAACTAACTTTAAACACAATGACGACTAAAGCCTGTTTTGCTCTTTTGACACCAGAAGATTTTATTGTTGTGAATGGTAAAAAATACTCCTTTGAAGATACTTACTCAGATATACCACCAACAGGTTTTGTTGACTTATTTAATACTTTAAGGACGAGTGTAACATGTGCTGCAACTAGAGCAGGTTTCATTATGTTTGGATGTCCGACTGAGTTTACTATAAACAATATGAGCTATAATACAAAACTTATATCTGGTTTTTACTACCAACAGTTTCCTATAACAGGAAAAGGTGTCATACAAGGAATGTCTGTTCCATTGACTTTAAGTACACCTATTTTATATATTGTTTCAAACTTAGGTTCAAAGTGTTATTCGAATGTCGACAGAAACTACTATGACCAAAAGATACTTATGCGTATAAACAACACTTTCTCTGCTGGTTTGCCTATTGTTCATTCGAATGCAGAGTTTTCAGCTTTAGTAAACTCAAACACTTTAGCAAACATAAACTTAACCTTAGTTGACGCAAACTTTGTTCCTGTAAAACTTTTATGTCCTATGTATTTGTCAATGACGGCAGAAAGTTTCGAATTGGAAGATGCAACTGGTGAAAGTATTGTATTACAAGAACAACTTCAACAACAAATAGCTCAAGAACAACTTCAACAACAAATAGCTCAAGAACAACAAATGCAACAAATAGCTCAAGAATAAAAAAAAATATTTTTTTTTATTTTTATAAAAATGTACAGAATA